GCGCAGGAGGGGAAGACCCTCTATGAGATGGATTGATTCGGTGACTGGGGTAATCGGGATGGGTGTGTTAGAGGCTGTGTGGTTGGTGCAGGAGAGAGCAGGGTTTAGGGCTGTTGTGCATAGGGTTGCTATGAGTCGCAAACGACTCAATGGCACATAACAACAACAAACAACAAGTGACCACTCTGAGTTGGAATTGACTCAATGGCACACAGCAAAAGGAACAGTTTTAGTTTTCCCCGATTTCATTGCCTTTATAAAAGCATTGTAAGGACTGCCCAAACTATCTCCACCTCAGGACCTGCTGCTGTAGTCATGAGACTGAGAGAGAGGAAACTGGGAGACTAAAGGGCGTTTATTTACAGATGAAACTTACTCTTAAGGAGGAATGTATAGTGCATTGGAACAGATGAAGGAAAGAACTGTTTAAAGGTAATATATGATTAGGTATTATTTGTATGACAACAATCCAGAATAAGAGGTACATAGCAAAGTGGACTGGGAGAGGGGTTAGGGTGAGGAGGGAGGAAATTAAACAACAATTTTTTTTAATGAACTGGGGGGAGTAGGGAGGAAAATGTACAACAATGAATTAATGAAAATCCAACTTTTCTGTAAACTTTCGTTAAAATCACAGTAAAAAACCCCCATTCTTGGTGATTTTGTGTATTTTAAAAATAATTCTTTTTTTAATTTTGTGTATTTTAAGAAGTTTTATTTTCTAGATCCCTTGGCTTAAAAATGCAATGACATAAATCCATCATACTCCGTATACCTAATGGGACAAGAACTGCTTATCTTTTGCCAAAAAGGAAAATAAAGTAGACATTGAGAATTGGGTAAAGAGGTAGTCAATAAATACATTATCATACTGCTAAAAAAAAAGAGGAATATAATGAATTATTATAATTCTTCATAACCATGCATGTGGTATCCACAAAAGAACAAATTCATGCCTTCCAGTGTATTCTTTAGAACAAAAACAATCTTGTTAATTTCCTAATGCAAAATATTAGTCATACTTTTCCCCCCAAGTATTCTTGTATTATAGCAATAGATTCTGAAATACTTACAGATATATAATATCTGGGAATGGCTTCTAAATAATATAGAATGAAGTCAGTGGTTATAAATATAGATAAGATTGGCCAATTCATTAAAAAATGTTGAAGCATTAAAATAAAGAAGCCAGAAATTAAAAAGAAAGAACAAAGGAGGAATAAATTATTAAAGGTAAAAAAAGGAAAAAAAGCATAATTAAAAAACAAAACAAAACATACCAATAAAAACAGCAGAAATGCCACTAAAAGCTACATTTTTGAAAATAAGTAAATCTTGGGGAAGGCTGGGGGGGCGGGGGGGAAGATGGCAGCTCAAAGAAGAGACCTCCTTGTTTCTGGCATTTGACCTAAGTATTTTCCCACATTGCTTAAAAAGACCTGTCTGAAGAAATTCCCTAACCTTGTTCTGAGGAAATGTCTTTCAGGAAAACATAGCTACAGATACCAGTTGGCACAGATCCTGTGACTGTCTTGCCTTTCCTACCCTTTTGGGCCCCTTTCTGGCTTGATTTGTCAGGGAGGGTTAGCTGTGAGCCTCGCAATCTGCAATTGGACTTGGCCATACCTGGGATCCTGGTCAAAGGTGAACTGTGTTCCTTGGCCATGGTGCACATCCCAATCCACAATAAGGACTCTGTAAAAAAGAAAAGTGAAGATACTATTTAAGAAGATCAAGTTGAATCTAAGGAAAGATTCCAGAATATGATATCTCACCTCATACCATTCCTATCACATCTGCCCTACTATTGCTGACCTCTGAATATCATGCTTCTGCTGAGCATAGCGGGCAGCCACGGCCACATGGTTGAACATGCAATATCCATCCATAAGATTGTGCTGGGCATGGTGTCCAGGAGGCCTGAGGAAGAAAAGAAAGGCCATAAATAGGCGGAGGGGGGTTTTCCTCCTTGACAGACTCTCCCTTGCTCCCTCACCCTGGATTTCCAAGTCTTACAACATTGATGCCTACAAATCTGCCAAGAATGGAGTAACTGGGATCTATAGATTCTCACCACTCCAAATCTACAGCTCTTTTTCCAAGGGAGATTTGCCCATATTCACTCAAATGATAATTGCATTAGCTTCATACTCAGTCATTCTGCTGCTAGGGATATAGTTCATAATATATACAACAAAAAGATGAATATACTTACAAATGTTTAATGACATTTGCTGTAGCTTAAAAAAAAAGCCACAGCAAATGATGAAAAGAACCAAAATGTCTATCAGTAGGGGGCTGGTTAAATTTTTATACAATTATACAATGGCGTTTTACAGGCTATGAGCTAAGCTTAAGGAGCCCTGGCTTAGCAGTGGTTAAGCACTTGGGTGCTCAAACCTACCAGCCACTCTAGATGTGGCAGCCTGTTTACATGAAGATTTACAGCCTTTCAAAGCTTATGGGAAAGTTCTACTATACTGAGTAATTGATTCCACGGGAATGGGTTTGATTTTTTTTTTTTTGGTTAAGCTTTCCAAGATGTATGAGGGAAAAGTATAGAAAATAATGTTATCAAATGCTCCTACTATTTATGGTTTTATAAAGGAGAATGGGTAAAAGGATACATTGACTTCATTTCTTCAGTTCTGAGATTTCAAATGATTTTTTTAAATTTCTAAAACAAAGATGTACCATGACGTTTTTTTCTTTCATAATTTAACATCCATGAGACTATTATTAGTTTCACAGGGAGCTGGGAAGAAGATATACCATGATTTTAAATGCTAAAAACTGAGCAGAAATGTTAATCAGATTCTGAAATGCCGTTGTTTATAAGAAGAATGTGCATTTCAAGATGTTAAAAACAGGGGAGAAAGTACATCTTAGAACCAATAAATAAGTTGTTGTTGTTGTGTACTGTCAAGTCAAAACTGACCCATAACTGACCCTCCAGTGGATTTTCAGGGGCAATTAGTCACACGGGAGAAGACTGTCCATCCTTCTCCTACAGAGCAGCTGGTGGATTTGAACAATGTGCCTTCAGGATTGCAATGCAGCTTCTTACCACTAGGCCACCAGAGCTCCCTCAATAAATATGTGCATACTATTTATTCTTGGACTGACTGCTTCTGGGAGGAAGAATTAATTGTACAACTGAATCACAAGAATTACAAGTTAAAATGACAACCTTCCAGGAGAGGAATCATGTGCCTGGGGAGCAGGGGTTAGAGTGAGACTTTTTCTTGGATGTTCTATTGTGTTAGGTATTTGGGTTTTTGGGGGCTTTTAGTTGTTGTTGTACTTCCAAACCACATGAATATATTACCCACACTAGTAAATTTTAAATTTGAGAGAACACATTTTTTTAAAAGTTGAAAAGCTAAATGCCAGAGGTTCCTACCTAACGATGGCCATGCCATTCTGGACTTCATCCCCCAAGACTGCATCCACCAGCCTGAGGACAGAGCCTGAGGCCAGGCAGGCACACGCGTATGAGTTCTGTGGCAACAGTGGGGAGCCAAAGAGATAAAAAGGAAGAAAGCATGCCTGTTTAATTAGCTGCTCCCATGAGCAAAGAGGGGAGCAGGTATTCACAGCAGAGTGGGCAAGGAGATAAGGGATTCCAGGATTGTTGCCAGTCCCTGACCCCACAGTACTTATCCATACTGGATGCAGATAAACGGAGTCATAGGTGTTAGCTAGGTTGCGGAGTTCTGCCTCATTCATGTCCTTGGTTGTCTCCATCAGATCAATGTACTCTAGGCTGAGGAAACAAGTAGAGGGATGGGATTCAGAGGCCTCCCTCCTTCACTGAGCAGGGAGGGATCTTGCTCTATCCCAGTTTGAATCCTCTGCACATCAGAACCTGGGTCAAACTAGGCTCCTCAATTGTCAATCCAGAGAAACTGCCAAGATATAACTTCCCCAGCCTGTTCTGGTTTCCAGCAATATCCTTTGCATCCTCCCTCAGCTTTAGTTGAACTAAATCTTACCTCCAGGCCTTTGGTCATACTGTTGCACCTATTTGTATCTCCTTTCTCTCAGTCTTCCTCTTCATCTGACTCACCTTTTTCTCCTCTTAATGCTAACTCAGATGCCCACCTCTGCCAAGCTACCTTTCCTTGAACAACATGGCACCAGTCCTCTGGGCTCCTGCAGCTCTCTAGAAGCATAGCCCTGATCACTATTGTTGATATAGTCACAATCTTTTTGCAAACAGATTATAGTAACAAGAGCTCATCATGACCTGATAATAAGTCAGGCACTGTTTTAAGCTCCTAACACATATTGAAGCCTCTTAAAGAAGCCATGTTTACTAGCCTCCATGTTATAGGTGATGACACTAAAATTCAGAGAGGCTTAGCTACTTGACCAAGGATACAGAGTCCATGGTATTCCTTTCCAAAGCAATCAGTCAGTCTGGTCAGCTCAGAAGAGCCTCCTAAAAGCTCCCAAGCTTTTACCTATGAACCAACATCAGCTCCTCCTTTTCGATAGAACGGGCCTGGGGAGAGAGGAATAAAAAAGGACTAAGACACAAAACAGGACCAAGTCTCACCAGTATCCTACCCTTTATTTAGCTGGCAGACTCACCTGGAAGGAGATACAGCGATCCAGGAGGCCCTCCTGGGTCAGCTGCTTCCTGATGGCATGGAGCCGCTCAGGGCCTTCAGGGAAGCTGGATAAACAGATATAATCATGTATTTATGTGTGCATGTATATACCAAAAGTTACATCCACTGCTGTTAATCATCAGATATGGCTAGTTAGCAGCTCAACACATAATGTGTGTAATCTCTCTTGCTCATGCTCTCTATTTTATATATATATATATATATATATATATATATATATACACATATATATATATATATATATATATAATCTCCATCTATTATTTCATCCATCTATCTACCTCATAGGATTTCCAAGGTTACAATCTTTATAAAAGCAGATCACCACATCTTTCACCTATGGAGTGGATAGTGGGTTTGAACTTTTGACCTTTCAGTTAGGAGCTAAGTACTTAATCACAGAGCCCCCAGGGTGGACACTTCTTCCCTATCCATCCTTCTACATCTTCTCAAGCCAAATACTTTGGAATTTTGACTGAGTCCTATTGGTTTCAATCTCAAAATATACGCAATGTCTCTCTTTATCACTTCCACTGCTACTACCTGAGGGAGACAGATGGGCAATCTCCTCCCATGTGATTCACAACCTCTGAAAACCCACTGGAGGGTCCACTATGAGTCAGTTCCAACTTGATGGCACGTAACTTCTACGACCATAACATCTCACCTGGGCTAGTATAGTAATCTCATTGGTTACACTCCTTCTGCCTTTGCCATCTCAGCAGTCCTTTCTCCACACATCAGCGAGAGACAACTAAAATATGAATTCTTTATTCAAAATCCTCCTGTTGGCTTCTTTAACTATGGTTCATAAAATCCTACACACTCTGTCCCCCATCTCCTTTCTGATCCCATCCCTTCCCACTTTTCACTGAAATCACTTTTTTTACCTACACTGCTTGACTGAGAATCAAACCAAGTATTCTCCTGTCTCAGCTGTGAACCAACATCATCCTAGTTGTTCCTCTTGCCATGAATATTCTTCTAGATGTCTGAATGGCCCACTGCCTCACTTTCTTCTAATCTTACTATTAATATTTATCATTTTATTTAACATTGAAGAATCTTCTTCCACTATATTTTATACTACCCTCTCATTTTAATCTTTACAGTACTTCTCCTTCTAAAATATTATATGGTTTTATGCTTGTTTACTGTTTGTCTTCTCCTTCTAAATGCAAGCCCCATGAAGGCAGATGTTCATTTTGTTTACTGATGTATCCTCTATAGACGTTAAATAATTATTTAACAAATTAAAAGCTTGCCGTTTTTGCCATGATGGATCTTATATTCAAATGAGTAAAATATTCAACTAGTAAACAAATATGCAAATATGATCCTTTAAAAACAATGAATGACACAGGCTCCAAATATCAACTATAAGAAGTATCTCTGATATATGAATGACGAGTAAGAATTAGATAGGAAGCAGAAAGAAATCTCTAAAGAAGGGATCAGCCTGAGGTGGATGATGAGTTACAAAGTAACTTCATTATTACATGGAGTTCAATGATATGGGGTCAGGTCACATGGAGCCTTAGAGGCCAGGATGAAGAATCTGGACTTTATCTGGAGAGCAATGGTCTACCTTTGAAGAATTTTCAAAAAGAGAATGGCAGTTTTTCAAGTTGCTCTGTAGAAGACTTTAAGAGTGACAGCAGAAGCAGTGGGACTAGTGAGAAGGCCTCTGCAACATTCTAGGTAAATGATTACAGGGTTAAAAAGTCTTAGCTCCACCTTCTTAAATCATCTGCTTCCAGTTTCCAGACTGCCCTAAAAAAGGATTCTTTCTTGCTCATGCTTTTGGAGACCAGTTAGAGAACTCAGCTTCACCTGTCATCCCAGAGGCAGTAGAATTCATTGAGCTGTTCGTGGAACACCAAGCCTGTACCAGACCGTGCCTTGGCCTCAAGATTCAGATTCTACAGGGGGAAAAAAAATAAGAGGCACAGATTCAATTAGAACATGAGTCAGACTGAATATTTCATACTATTCCAGTTGCGAATCTCAGTATTTAAGGGTTTTTAGTTGCCATAACCAGTTAAACCCAAGCCAGATCCCTCTACCAGCTCTTGTAGTCCGGTGATTAGGTCTTGCTCTGCTGATTGGCTGAGCTGCTTCATTCTGCCTTTCTTCTTTACCTCTGCTAGACTGAAGCTACAGCGGGGTACTACAGAATCCTTCTTAACACTTCTCTTCTGTGGAATACAAAGAAGGGTCAGAGTGAAGTGGACCACCTACTGCTCCCTTGCTTCTTCCCTCTCCCCACAGGCAGTTCTGAGGTCTCACTGAGGTGCTGGAGTCATGGGGTGGTGAGTGGGCATTGTGCCTACTTCTTCGTTGTCTGGTTGTACTGTAATCTTGGCTGGTGGAGGTCATCGTGAGGACACCGAGCCCCTGAAGCAGTCCTATAAAGGGTGAAAAAAGACCCAACAATCCCTCCTTTTCTCAAGTTCTGCCCCCTAGACTTCATTCCCCACACGCCTCTCCCAACTCTCCCTCCATTGAGGTGTCCCTTAGGCCTTTCTTTACACATACTCCTTCCCTTGAATACTATCTTTTTCCCTTTCCAAATCTCTTCCTTTCACTGAATCATTAGCTTTTCATTCAATCTATTCTATGGCCTGCCCTTCCACTCAACCTAGCCCCATTTCCCAGACCCTTCCATTCCTTTTGGGAGCTCTCATGCCTTAGCCCACAGGGAGATGTGCTGCTAAACGAAAGGTGGTGGCTCTCTGGCACTTCAAATCCACCAGCCTATTTCCTGTGCGATTCACAGCTTCTGAAAATCCGCTGGAAAGTCAGCTATGTATGCATCAGTGACACTGAGACTGAAACTGTGATTCATTCCTCTAAATCTTACTTCTTTCTGGCCTATCCCAACCTTTAACTCAATCAGTCCTAGATCCTACTCCACTACAGATTCGCTTAACTCCACCTCTTATTAGGGTCAGCACTGTCTTCTCTGCGAGACCCCTCCTCTAACATTTCATTAAGTCCTTCCTCCACATTCCACTCCCAGGTCGGTCAGGCATTAGCTTAAAGAGCATCAAGTATCCACCAGATGCTCTTCTGGAGAAGGAGGGACAGTCTCCTCCTGTACCAGTCAGATCCGATTTGACGGTACATGCATAATTTTTTTTTTAAGCGCATCAATCATATTTAGCCAGTTCTGAGTACTAGCCTCCGCTCTCAAACACCGCCCTTGTTCTCCCGGCCAAATTCCCAGTACCTCGGGGGTTTCGAGCTCCTGGGCTCCTCCTCTCTCCAGGGCTGGTTTTCGCTAAAGCAGTTTGCTAAGGGCCTCCCCCATGACCACGCCCCCTCGCTGGCCAAACCTTCGGTAAATTTACAAAACGTGCATATCAGCAGTCGTTACAGACTTTGCACTGAAGGGTGCGCTGATGGTTCGATATCAGACTCAATCAAACTTCCCTTTCCCAACTACCGCTGCTACTGTCCTGCCTTTCATGGCCACCACCCGTCTGCCCTCGCCAAGTCACCTTGGGAATCCTTCAGCCACACGCCAACTGTGCAAGAGAGCAAAGAAGGAAGCGAGTTGCAGCCACTGGCCTCTCACTTCTCGCGCAGCGCACAGTGATGACGTTTAAGGAAATGCTGGTTGTTAGGCTCAAGGTGTGGTTGAGACTGCACAATAGCGAGTGTCTATTGAAATGTGCATGATCAAGATAATAAATACTGTTGGGATTTTATGTTAATATTAACTAATGTGGCACACAAAAGCACACACCAAATGCTAAGTGTTTGATGTTATTAAAATTCCTGAAAATATCTGATGGAAAAGGATGGAACCTTGTTATTGTGTGCCATTGAATGGACTGCTACTCATAGCTCTGAACTCTGCTCTATCACTGTCTCCAAGTGGGAGACAATTTTAATGCTAACAAGTATTAACAAGTATTGTTCGCCGTAACTATGAGATACGCATTGCCATTACCAGCTGCCATTGGATCGGTTTGAAGAGTAATCCTGATAAAAAGGATTGTGTTTAAATTTTAGCAAAAGATAGTTTTTTATAAAGTTTGATACTTTACAGTGAGCCTTCATAACTGGTTAACTTCTTAATAAGAGTCAGCATTTTGTGGCTTCTTATGACTATTCCCGATGTTCGTACTTTAAAAAAATTTTTTAATTATAATTAATTTTAATGAAAATTTACAGACTTCAGATTTCCATTCATTCATTCATTCATTGTTGCACTTTTCTCCCTGCCCACTCCTCTCCCCCTACACTCTTTGAAATGTAAAAGGAAAATTCTTTCATTGTTTTACAATCCCTCCCCCCAGGGTCACTCCACTATGCAGCCTTTGTTCTGGACTCCTGTCATGACAATAATACGTAATCACATGTCCCTTTTAAACAGTTTTCTCCCCGAACCCCGATGTCAGTCCTGTTTTACAACAGTGGCACTATGCAGTATTTTTCCATGTGTGACTGAGATATTTCACTCAACATAATGTCCTCCAAGGTGACCCATTTTGAATGATATTGCATGAGTTCCTTGTTTTTCAATGCAGCGTAGTATTCCATTGTGTGAATATACCACAGCTTCTCTATCCATTCGTTTGTTGATGAACACTTAGGTTGTTTCCAACTCCTTGCTATTGTGAACAAAGCTGCGATAAACATAGGTGTGCATAATGTTTTTACTTTTTTATGTGTGTACTCCTTTTAAAATCTCTATGTAGAACATTTCCTTGGAGAGGCTGGACTTTATAAGGAGAAATGCAGCAAAAGGAGAAGACATAACCTTCATCAACATTTATTCATCAAATGACAGATGTGTAAAAGACATAAAACAACAGTTAACAGAATTAAAGAAATAGCACCACAATACTGGTATTAGACTTTAACATACCACTCTTACCAAAGGATGTTGTGTTGTTGTGTTGTTGTTGTTATGTGACATCAAGTTGTGTGCAATTTATAGCAACCCTATGTACACCACCATTGAACTATGCATGCCCTATCCTGAGCCAATTTGATGGTCTCCTACAGACCCAATCCCACTTCCCCAGTCACCGAATCAATCCATCTCATCTTGGGTCTTCCTCTCTTCTGCTGTCCCTACACCCTTCCAAGCATGAAGTTCTTCTCCAAGGACTGGTCCCTCCTGGCCATATGCCCAAAGTATGTGAGAGGTGCTTCAAAATCTTTGCCTCTAGGGAGCAGCTTGGTTTCACCCTCTCCAGAATTGACCTGTTTGTTCTCCTGGCTGTCCACGGTATGTTCAACACTGTTCTCCAGCACTACAACTCAAAGTATGTCAGACAAAGCTTCAGAATCCTTGCCTCCAAGGAGCAGGCTGATTTCACCCTCTCCAGGATGAACCTGTTTGTTCTCCTAGTATTATCCAGTACTGTTCTTCTGTTAGGGACCTCTCCAAAGTACTGAAGAGCAATGGTGTCTCTCTGGAGACTAAGGTGCTTCTGATACAGGCCATGGTCTTCGCAATCACTT